AAAAAAATGATGTGCATCAAGGTCCTATTATGTTTAATGTATGTACCAAATTTGAATGAAATCCGTTCATGCATAACTGAGATCCGGGTCCGGAATGGTGAAAATGTGCGATTTCAATGCATTTTCGGCCTTAAAGCGACCGCCATTTGGCTATCGTTAATGAGATCATGAAACAAATGCACATACATATTTGTGACATGATGTACCTTGTGTGTGTGAAGTTTGAACTCGATCAATCCAGGCATGTCTCAATTTGAGCTACTGATCAGTAAAATTGACAACTGATAGACAGTTTTCAAGACGGCACTTTCTTCATAGTAAACAGATGTACCCGTAAACCAATTTTGACAGGAAACAGAGGCATGGTTTAGAAGCAAATTTTTTTAAAATCACTTTTGACCGAAAAACACACATTTTTGTGCATACTTTAAACTACAGTGTCCATAAAAAAAAATGATACTTACAAAATTTTAAAATTCATACAATAAGCTTTATAGTTTTGTGGACAGGGGAGGTCATCTTGGTTGCCTAATTAACTAATTAAAATACCTGTCAGGTAAACTGCATCTCTACCTTAAGAACACTTTTTTGCAGCAGTGAAAATGTCAAATTATGAAAATAGTGAGTTCCACTTCTAAATAAGATAGGTAGTTTTCTGCATGCTTTTCTGTCCTACTTTTAAATTAATAAAAACTTCATATCTAAGCAAAACTAAAGTAGTACCATATTTTTACTCAGTGCTAGGGAAAAGGAGTATGGTTGAAATGCAATCAGTGGATGTATATTTTTTAACTCTACATGCATTACGCACCAACTGCATAGTGTTAAAGACCAACCTGGTATATAAACAGGCATGGACGGAGTCTATTATTCAAATTATGTCGCCCTCACCCACAGCAACAACGGTGAATAAAAGCTCCACAAAAACACTAGAAACAGTGATTCATTGTATTATATTTTCTACTTTTCAGATGTGAATGGCACCATGAATGTTTAGGGAAGGCATAAATAAAAATAGGATTTGATTTTACATCACTACCATTTAATTTTGCCGATACAATGCGTCAAAAAAAACCCGTTTCATCCACATCATTTTGAAAATGACTACTTTGAATACGTGGTGATATAAACTAGTGCGTTGTTTGTTTCTGATTACAATTAAATGCATTACGAAAGGTGAACATCGATTGACAGTTGCTGCCATTGAATAATCAGTCAAATTAGAATACTAAGCTCTGCCCATCCCATGGGACATAAATGTTGGCCTTTAACGTGTAACAGCAGTCATACAGCATTGGAACTACATGCATATATATATATTTATAAACTATGTAATTTGCATGTGTTGTATATGCAGCATGGAACCATATATCAAACATGACATGGCCATGTATTGAAGTATAAAACACATCGCATACAAAATATACAAGACACATTTTAGAAAACATACTCATCTAGACAGCCTTCTTCATATTCCATTCTTCGATAATGCTTTGACAGTTTAACAGCAAAGATAATACTAGGAATGAAAAAAAATAAACCCCAACCCAAAGAAAACCAAAAACAATTCTGTGAAAATAAAAGAAAATACATGATAAACATACATACTGGTCAATTTAATACAATTATAGTAGAACTATTACCGGTAGTTTTATACCATTCATTTATACTGAATATCTTTGTGTTCTTTTTGCCATGGAAATGCATCAGAGTATGCGCCATTGTGTTGACAGTGATTTTGTTGACAGTTAATACAGGTTTATAGTAGAAATTTTGACATTCTGAATAAATGAATATTGGCTAGCGGAGATGGTATTTTTCAACCATCATTTTAAATTTATAAAATATGTGTAAATTTTCATATAAAAAATATTCATGCCCAAGTGTAAATCTGTGTATGTTAAAGGGTGGTAGTCGTTGCACTGCACATGTCTGACATCTGTGTTGATAAACATTGATTTTCCCACAATCCAATGCGCTCTTCTAATGTAAATCTGTGTATGCTAAAGGGTGGTAGTCGTTGCACTGCACATGTCTGACATCTGTGTTGATAAACATTGATTTTCCCACAATCCAATGCGCTCTTCTAATGTAAATCTGTGTATGTTAAAGGGTGGTAGTCGTTGCACTGCACATGTCTGACATCTGTGTTGATAAACATTGATTTTCCCACAATGCAATGCGCTCTTCTAATGTAAATAACAAGTATGAGGTTTGACCTGGGTGCGACTTGCACTAATTACCGCCAGTGACTCTCTCGATATTTTCCAATCACATAAAAAATACCAAATTAAAACTTGGTAACGTCTCAGTTTGTACTCGTTGATCTGCGCAACAGCCAAAGTCGCATCTTTGTTTATATAAGATATGAGATGCGTCAGGGACGACTACCCCACTTTAAACAAAAACTATTATTAATCAAATCAAACTTACAAATGAATCTACAACGTAGTTACAGATAACAATATTCATAGATTTATATAAATTCCATACTGGTAAACAACCACCAAGATCATTGGATACCTATAATAAGACATCATGTATTTCAGAACACCATTTAATGACCTGTGATAAGAAGCATTGTCTATCTTGGAATCTTAAAAGTCTGTTATAAAATTAAGGTTCCACAGAATTATGAAATTATCAGTATATACCAATATATTGCTCTACGATGTCGATATCCTTGTAATTTGTAGTTTTTATAATTTATACATTGTGTACCAAGGTCAACTGTTGTCATCTCTTATATATATCAAGCAAAGATAGCAGATCACACTTTCATCACATAGAGTGTAAAGGTGGAGTTTGTCCACAATATTAGCTACCTTCACACACAGCAATGTACATCGGCATATACTTATTATGATATATGTATGTATAGTATGGCAATTCAAACCTGTGTGTGAAAAGAAAGCTGAAGTTGTGCACAAACCCAATTTTAGTGAAGAACGCCTGAATCAGACTTTTTTGTTGTAAAACCATATGAATTTTTTCCCAAAAAACATGTAGCCAAAGGAAAATTAAATCCATTTGGTACAAAATTATCCGAAAAAACAACAACATAAAAATGGGTGAAATGTTGCACCATGTGTTGAAAAATGATGGTGTTCAAGAGAAGATTCAGATCCCAACAGTGTGTGCGTAGTGCCCTCAGGTATCCAACAGAAAAAGCGAATCTGCCTGATGAGGGCGCACATTTGCAAGAACAGTCCCACAATTATATGATTGCGAAATGTATAATTATGGTCTTTAAGTGAGATTTACCAGTAGTACATATATGCTCAGTGACAAAATAAATAGTATATATGTATATATAGTATTGTGAAGTGTTTAGTTGTTGTGTTTACGGAAATGTTCCAAAACATGTTACTAATACACAGAATATAACTTCTATGACGTTATTATCATATAGTAGTTGAAAGCGGAAGAAAAGACACAAATTAGTAAATCCCAATTGCTGTTCAATTTTTTCCAGTCCTAATTCCAATCAATCGCATTATACATTGAATGCAATGGTCAGAAGGTGGGTTAAGAATTTGATTTCACCAAGATTGTTTCTTTTTAAAAAAAATAAATCTGACTGGCTAAATTTACACATATTTTCAGAATTTGTAGAGATTGTATGACACCAGACATCCACCCAAAGGAAGCATGCACGATAATATTCAAGAAATGTAATATTTATTTTCACTTACAACGCCTAGTACATATTTTGCATACTGATCAGCATAACCTAACACCAAATTCTGATATTGAAGTAAAAGCTGCAATGCAAGAAATATATAAATTAGAAAAAAGTGAAATAAAAGAAATTCATTTCAAAAATACTAAAAGTGTGATTTTTCTACTATTATCATCTTATTATTCAACTCAGTCAGCATTTTACAATCAGTTCAATAAAGCCATACTGAATCTATATTTGAACTGTTTGTTTAATAACAGTTATGCTAGTGCTAATATTTGCTCTGCTATTTTTATTGGTATACTTACAGAATGTACAATTACAGGTCCTACTGTATGAATAAAGGTATCAGCAGTTTCTGCTGTCTCTAAAACAACACCAGTATCTCTCTATGAAAAAAATATAAATACAATTTCAGAGATATCACTATCTCTATAGAATCCTATGTTGTCAGTTGTAAGTGTAATTTGATTTAAGGATATGTTTCAAAGTCGCATACCTGTAGTGTTGCTGCTTCTATTTTCAAGTCACTTATTTTAGATTCCAATGTATCCTGTAAAATATGATTGTGTAATATCAGATATGTGACCACAACTACATGATTTATAACTCATTCATTAAAGCAATGCCCACCCTCACGTTTCCCATTTTAGATCTGTATCCCACTGAAATGGGCAGTTATTGATTTTTTTGCTTAAAATGATTACTTGTATCCAAGTAAATTTGGGATATTTCTTGTGTTGTAGCCACGCCCACCTATCCTGAAACGGTCGACTGTTTCCGGATTTCCGACTCTCGCCGAAAGTGCGCCACCAAATGCAAAAATGTGGGAGGAAGTCTGTAAACTGAGAACAGACTTCTCAAGGTAGAGTGAACCAAGTGAGTATTGGTCACCAGATCCGGGAGGAGAATAACACACTGGAGAGAAGCACTTGTAGCCAAGGTGTTTATTGCTCAACTGCTAGGCCTGGAACTGAGTCTAAATACTCACGAGATGTTCCATACAATGTATCAATATCATTATGCAAATAACTAAACTAAACGTCATAGCCTCAAATCATTACAAAGTCATACCCCTGAGTCGTAATAACACTGGTCATTCAGTATACATTTAAACGATATACATTTTTCAGTCAGCGTTTTTCTTTTCTTTTTTTTTGTCTATTTTCTTTTTTTTTGAGAGAGAGAGAGTTTTTAGATGTTGTGTTGACGAAAGCCACTTAGCCTCAGATTCCTTTTTTGGAAAAACTGTCCTCGTCCATGACAAAAAAACAACTAGGTTTAAAGAGAAACACCGACAACATAAACCTGGCGCAAGACTTTTGAAAGAAATAGATTCCGGACCATGATCACCAAGGTGGATTTCAGAAGAGAGATAGACGTCCGGCAAGTGTTTCAAATGAGTTGACTTTTTTTGCGATCCTGATTATCGTTTTATAGAAACCATTTAGTCCCTGTTAAGTAAAAGGTAGCAAAAGGTAGCATAACTTTGACAGTGACACGAAAACGAAGCGTCGGAAAAACAGGAAATTACACAGCCCTTACACACTGCTAATTGTTTTCATTTTCGAAGGCTAAAAGTTTCTGAATTGTTTGGTGGTTGGTGTTGAATGTCGAATTCACACCTCTGTTCTTTTTTTACCTCCATGCTTGAAGCTTGATCTGCGTAATAATTTCTGAAATAAGAATCCGGGCTTGGTCAATGTGTTTCCACCAAATAAAGTTTTAATATGATGTTATAATTATGACAATCACGCCATGGATCACGCTAACTCGAATCCAGTCTGAATTTATCTGTATGTGTGTCAATCTTGGTTATTTTTGTTATCCGCTTTTAACACACTTGCCCTCGTCGTGACCCGACGCGTTCACCTATTTCACAAAATTTCAATTTATTTCCATGTGGCTGTCATTTATTTAGTAACTGTGA